TAAATAATTTTGTGGCTAAACAAAAGATAACTAAAAAGATCCCAAAGTGTGATTCTTTTTGGAGTTTGTAATCGAGTGATGAAAAGAACAGGGGATCGTTGTTCTCATTTATATGTAAGAAATGAAGCATTAGCTCTAATTATCTTTTGTGAAACGTCTTTGAGTTGATAAATTTGGTAATTAATTTGTGGTTACCAATATTGAAAAATAGTTACAATATTGAAAAACATGTAACGATCAACACTAATTGCGGGGTGGAAATACAATGCCACTTACAGTTTGTACGATTTAGTTCTACTCTTGTATGATTTGGTTTAACCGGTGAAGCAATTTTGATTCTCTGGATAGAAAAGGCAAACGAAACTGAGAATGGCATTGATTCTTAAAATTGAAAATGACATAAGTGAAGCTTATGTATGTGGTAGGTAAGGCAGAAGAATATATAACTTATTTTTATGTCCAAAATAAGATGTGTTTCATTGTTTGACAAATAGGTTGGCTACAAGATTACACAGAGAGGTTACTTACTACAACACCAGTGCCCTTCTGCTTTTGTGTTCTTGTGTCTATACGACGTCTATCTCTTTCTAACCTGTACAACAAAATCCTATTCTCATCAAAAGAACTAACACAAGCTTTGATGCAATGAGTCTGCAGTCACATCATGTGTATCTCATACTCTACCATCAATTATCAAAAACTTCCAAGGACCTCTCTACCTCCCGACTCCCGAGCAAGAAACTTCTTCAACGTTGCCCAAGTTTCTCGGAGTAGATTTGTCTGAAAGCCGTCTTCTGCAAGATTTATTTCAGAATCTTAGTGTGTTTCTGTAGCAATCTTTAGTGCTAATCCTGGTGCTTTCTTTTGAGGTGGTGGATGTTATTTACAGGCACCACAAAAGATCCCCGAGTCAAAACTTGTTCCTTCTTCAGATGGTCTTCTGCTGGTGCATCGCATAGGAGAACTCAGTTGAAGAAGTACTGTGATTTGAGCACTTCCTTTAAATCGAAATCACCTCTCTGTGGTACCGGAGGAAACTCAAGATTCGGGTATGATTCTTGGAAACTCTGGAGTAACTGGAGCAAGAACACAACAATGTCAACAAAACAGATGATGAAATTGTTCTCTTCAATCAGATCCTAAACTCAATTGTAGAAAGAAGTACTAACAGCAGCATCAGTAATCTTGATAGCCTATAAAGAAAGCTCTGTTTGATGCTTTTTTGTGATTGTAGAAGATATTTGTAACTATAACTTGATAATTTAAAACTGAATCCATAATCTTCGATTCAGTAAAGCTGGAAAAGACTTAACACGCAATTTGAAAACTGTATGGTGGTTTTAAGATCTACCATGCTCTTTCGCTTTTGCAGATGCGCAGAAAAAGAAAGTTAGACTTTCAATCCTAAGCTTCTAACCAGCGAGTTATAAAAAACTTACATCTTCAAGGATCGGTATGTTGTAAAGCTCAACGAATTTCTCTCTAAGTATTCTGTTCATTGTGTCAACATCACATGCATGGGTCCAGTAGGAGTCGTGCACACCTGCAAAACCCAAACATTGAATAAGAAGAGAGTCCAGTTTTTTGTTTAATTGGTAAGCCATTAATTGATTCAAAAGGACTAACCTGCAAAGTTTAGGCCAGCCTCTCGACATGCAACAGCAGTCATCATCATGTGAGTGCCGTCCAGCGAGTGCACAAAGTTGGGAGGGAACGCAGTTCTTTGTTTCCTAACATCCACCTGAGAATCAAATATCTTTAAGCCTATGGAGATCATACAAGTGGAATTGATATCTTGCTCAGTGGTCACAAATAGGCTTTACCGTGTTACCCTCTCGCTGCAGAGCCAAAACCTGAAGAGATGTCCTTATCTGCAACCACAGTGGCCATATTGACACCAATGTCAAAATCAATGGTCTCCCAATGAAATGATTTGTAGTTCACATGAAGGATTCTTAATGGATAACACTTACCAGATGTCTTTCACTTCTGCAATAGGGTTGCAGAACAGGAAGTCCAAGAGGGGTGGTCCATCGCACTGGATGATTATCGGAAGCGATGATCTGTAAAGTGGACAAGCCAAAGAAGAAACACACAGCTCTATTAGGTCTCTCATCTATCAAACGTAAAATAGCAGAGTTAATAACATGCTACAAGACCGCACCTTTGCACAATCACCAAGCCAACTCATAATGGCACGTGCCGCTTCAAATATCTCTCCAAGGGCTGCTAGTGTCACCTGAGGAGAAATGTTTCACGTATAAAATTAACACATAACTAGAAACCAGAGAAAGTTATTCGCATAAATGTAATTACTCTTCTTACTTTTGCAGCATAGCAAGCAGCAGCGAATAACACTCTCTCATCAGTTATAACACCTTTCTCTTCTAATCTTCTTTTTATTTGTTCACGGGCTCCAACATAGGTGACACCATATACTGACGTCATTACCGTCT